ATTTGAAAGAGCAGACGACAGTTCGAACGATCAGGCGGCCGCTTGAACTTGCAGACGCACTGAACGTAGTCCGCAGGTGGTCCGCACAACTTGATGGTTTTCTGGCGTTCATGTTGGAATAAAACAAATAAATCTGATGACCACAAGTATCCGTGAATTTAACTCAAAGTGATTCCCGCCCAAGCAATCGTTGTCCGTCGGCGTCTGCTTTTCCCTTTTCACGGCACATATCCAGATTCTCGAACGAACCCAGCACGTGAAAACTGGCCTTCAAATCTTTCTCGACTTCTGGTACGGCCCCAGTCCCGGCGTTTCGACGAGAAGGCAGGTTTTTGTCTGGTTCCCTTCAAAACAACGCAGGAATACACGTCTGGCATGGGGATCCCTTCTGCCCACAGCCCCAGACCGGAAGTGCGACCAACGCGCCATCACCGCACCGTGACGTCACAGAGATGAGTTGGTGTCATAGAGTTACTATAATGTACGCTAGAGGTTCAACTGGCGCTAGTGTCTATGCGACTTCCGTGACGCAAATTGAAGCAGACAGCAACCAGTCTACTTTCGCGGTGCTCTTGTGCATTCCTATGGGAAAACGCGCATGCATTTTTCCTCTTCGCCGGAAAATAACACGGAACACTTTGGTTATTTGGGTCGTACCGAATAGTATGTACCTTGATTAACACTGTAAAAGTGAAAATCTTTTAGTTGGCGCATTTTTCTTCATCAATGAACGATGTTTAACTTCGCTACATTTCAGTCCCAAACGTGTGTTCCGCAGCAGGTGTGTAAAAACAAGCGACGATTCAAAGCAAAATTACAATCGAAACGAATATAGAGTGGGTTCAAGGCTCGCCAGCATTCCGGTGACGATTGTATATTGATAATATGCCAGTCCTGTCACTATATAAAAATGATCCCGTCGTGCATGAGCGGATAAAAACCTTCAAAACGTAGATAATAAAGTCCGTGGGCTATGAAAGGTGATCGCGCACTTGTTCTCATTGATATCGAGCGCGTGGGTGATATTTTGAACGTAGAACAAGCAGCTTCGCTCAGGGCAGAAAGGATAAAGCAGTACTTACTTATTTAAAATTGGAATAGATTACGTGACCTTCAATTTATTTTGATCGTACATGCACTGCGAGTTACTGATCCAGTGTTACTGCGCAGTTCTTGCCGCCGCTCTTGGTTTTCCAGATGTCCTCCGTTCGTTTGGCATGTATATCCCCCATGCTGGAAATAGCCGACGCCGCGTTCGCGCTAACAGTGTCCGACAGTGCACATAAATACACGTACGAAGCCGTTTTAGCACCGTTTTTAATGCGATGAATTCGAAAGAAAAACGCCGTAACTGACCAATTCTTTCGTCGGCCTGACTGAGAAATGTTCCAAACTACCTAGTACGTACGAATTATTTGGGATATTTGCTCTTATGATCGAGCGCAGGGAGAAAATACACTCACTTTTTCCCATAGAAATAGATTACCGGAAGTCAATTTTCGACTGGTTGCTGTCTGCTTCAATTTGCGTCAGCACACTAGCGCCACTTGAACCTCTAGCGTACATTATAATAACTCTATGGTTGGTGTATAACCTAGGAGGACATTGTTAGTTATTGTCTCTGCACTTACCTCCTCGAGCTTCTCGAAGAGGCACACAATACTTGGTGTCCTCCTCTTACCGTCTTGAATCGCAAAGAAAAAACAGAGACTAAAAAAGCGGATATAACTTGCCCCCCCCCCCCCCTTTTTTTTTTTGGTAGAAATGCTTATTTTGACTTCTTGACATTGTTTTTAGGGTCTAAAAAAATGAATTCAGGGCCTTGGTGTCGCAAAAAAAAAAAAAAAGGCTTTCGGGAACTGAAGAGTGCCAAGCCTCCCTTTGCGCAGGTCAATTCGCGTGACAGTGTCACTGCGCCTAAACTTTACCAAAAAATAAAAAAATAAAAAAAAATTTAGAAGGGGGGTGGGAGGAGTGGGTCCTGTAAAAAATGTAACGGATTACAAGGAATCCGTTACGTAAAAAATGTAAGGGAATTACTTTAAAATTACTCTAGAAAATATGTAATTATTCCGCTACTAAATTACTCATAAATGTAACGGATTACAAGTAATTGCGTTACTTGTAACGGATTACGTACAAGTCTGGCCAACCCACGTGTAGGCGCTCGCGATCGGCCGCGTCGCTCCGGCTGCGCGCGCCAGGTCCTGCGTGACTGATGCGGTGTGGCGATGTTTGAGCGCTTCCTAGGTTGAAGAAACCGTATTCACGAAACACGCATTGCTCTTCAGTGCCCCCCGTCCCTTGCAACGATCATCAGCCACATCGGCGAGAGCAGGAGGTGCTTCGTTGAAGGCGAGGACGTGCTGAAATGTGATCATGTAATCGAGCGCAGCGTCGCGCCGGAGAAACCTTCTCCAAAACATTAACCAAAATAGTCATTGCATTACGTTTTTCTTAAAATTCCAAAATAAAAAAAACACACTGGTGAAGATTATAACTTAGAATGTGACTAATTAGACTGCATATTGGCATTAAACGTTACAAGTTGTCTTTTTCAGTTTAATTTATCGGTTGTTCAAAGGTGCACGGTTCACGATGAAATATCAACGAGTTCTGCACCGACGAGGACTTAGTCATACACACATTTGCATTGCTCGATCGAAATTATAGGAATCGCAAAACGAATCACGGAGTTGCGTAAATATCCAAATTTCGAACTGATACTGCTACCTAATATGCTCCAGTGTAAAAGCTAGCCTGGAATAAAATAGTGTTCAAATGATAGCAGTACCTCTCGGTGGCTTGCGAAGCCTCACGACCCGGTTGTGTGATCCCTTCGGAAAATTCTCCGATGGAACGGCGTTGCGTATCAAGAACCTCCTCTTGTGCACTGTAATGCAATAAGACGGGGATATTCTGCCGGCAGCCGGGCACAACCACTTGGGAAAAAAAGATTGCCGGGAGCTTCGGACGGCAATGATTATTCTAAAAAATAATAATCATAATCGTCATACGTTTCACGAAAAAAAAAAAAAAAAAGTTCGCCTACTTTGATTTGAATCTGGGACCCACGGCACGTGTAACGGACACCTTTCCACTGAGCTACTCATACACCTAGAAGTTCCCGTTTTGACTATTCCTTTTACACAAAACCCAATGGGAACAACTACCGGCAACTTTTGTTTGCTCGGTTCGTTGTGCTGGTTGCCGGCAGAATATATACTACTTATAAAATACAATGCACGGTTTGAACGGATGTCGATGCAAGCGTGGTTTACGTGCGTACATGCCTCGTCCATTAGCATAGTTTGCTTGGAAGGCATCGCTTGAAAAGTGACGACCAAATACCACGTCGTGCGCAGTCAACTTTTTCCCTACTCTTACATATCCACTGCAATGTGAGTTTTTTTTTTTTCGCAGGAAAGCGATGAAAACTGATTCCAGGCCCGAAAGCATGCGCTGAGCCCTGCGGTACGCAACAAGAGCTCACTATATTCACTAGAGCGACAAAGACAAACTTTTGTACGACGACACGGCAAAGTGTCTTGTCGCTCATCCCGTCCCACTGTGGCGACGGACACCATCGACAAATATGTCCGACGACGGAAAGGAACTTGTTCGTCGTCTGATCTGTAGCGCCGTGGATGCCGTGTGGCAGTCCCACTAAAAGACTACACTCGACGACAAGCCTTCCGGTCTTGCCTCGTTTGGACGATCGCGCGTTCGCTGCTTTGGCGGCTTTGGTTCGCGAAGTCGCGGATTGATTTTGTCATGGCGTGTCACGAGAGGCAGCTCGCTCTCGCTGGGCTAGTTTTGCTAGAAGCCCTAAGCTCGAGCGAAGACGGCGACCTCATCCAGCCTCCCAAAAAGCGGAGGATGTGGATGCGACCCCACCTGAGGAAGCACAGGGAGCAGGGGTGCTACGAGAATCTGATGCGCGAGCTGGCACTAGAAGACGCAGAGTCCTACCGCTCCTGGATAAGGATGGATACGGCCACTTTTGAGGAGCTGCTGGGGAAAGTGAGGCCACTAAGAGTAAAACAAGACACCCCGTTTCGACAAGCCATTCCGGCAGGCGAAAGACTCGCCATCACGCTCCGCTACCTCGCTACAGGTGAGTTATGTCGCTGTGAGAAGGGAGGCCTAAATGACGCTTACAGGCTTATAACTTTGTCGCAGAAATCGGTGTACTAACATACTAGACAGCTTATCTCGGAAACGGTATGTTTGCTCGCACTCGTACATCCCCGGTCCAGGTGGCAGCAACCAACTTCATACCCCTCTCAGACTGGCAATTAAAAGTCAGTTTCATCGAATGAGATTTGTGTGATGGGCGAATCAGCTGTGCGCGTGGAATGTGACAAATGCGTCCTGTGCGCGAACACAGTTGGCTCTCAGGTTCCCCCCTAATGTCTCCGTCTACACACGCCGGTGTGTCGCACGCACTGATTGGCCGATCGCTCCATTGTCATTCGATGGAACTGACATTTAATTGCCAGTCTGGCAGGGGTATTAGATAACTTGGAGAATTCAGTTTCGCTTTCGCAGGCTATGACAGTGCGATGTATCGCTAAAGTACGTCTAAGTAGCGCATTTTATTTCTCAAACTATCAAAGAAAAGGTTTGCCCTAGTCAAACAAATATATCAAGAAAAGTTGTATGGGTGACCCATTGGGAAGTTCGATTAAGAAACAAAACTGACCGTGAGAAAAGTGGCAAAATGCTTTTCCTTGCCTATTTTTTTAATCATACATTTTAGCGCTTTGCGACGGGGTTGTCTTATTTTTTTATATATATTTAATAGGCGTCTCTCCTATGCAATGTTAGTTTTCGTAACTTTTCACTGGGGCAAGCCTTTCCTTTGATAATTTCTTATATTAAATGCACAGCCTACCCACTCATATGTGTAAATTATAGCGCTATAGCTTGCGAAACTGATGTTTGCAATTATTTTCGAGTAGGTCGCTGCCATCTGGATCGCCGGTAGACCATCAATTATGGTAAATCTGGAAGTTGTCATAAATTGTAAATAAAGAATAGCCCTGCAACCTCACACCACTGGCTGGGTTCAGTATATTGATATAACAATCCTTATCATACTCGTGGTGCTGGCTATCGCTCGCTGTATTCCTAAAGTTTCAGCGGTATACCCACCCGAGTTTCGGTCAGTTTCCCAGTTTTGACAGGAGTCGCATCAATAATCACCATTTCAGTGCGTGAATATGATCAAGTGAAAGCCACCTTTGAAATTTCTCCCTGAAAACCCTGCATTTTGTATACCATGGTGGCATACTTGATTGTTTAGAATGCATATAGAGTGCTTTCACTAATTTCAATGCAATGAACCTTCGTTCCAGGGGAGACCTTCGCCTCTACTGGTTTCCAGTTCAGGAGGGCCCACAGCACGGTGTCCAAGATAGTGCACGAAGTGTGCATCGCTATATATGAAGTTTTGGCACCTGACTTCATCAAGGTAGGTTTATCTCGTAAACATACCATCACAATTAAGGCCACACAGTGGTGTCAGAACAAAAGCAGAAGGACACGCTTTTGACACACAGATATGGTGACCTAACCCCTTGTGTCGGGCAATCACAGTTTTAACAAAACTGTGATCTAGCCAAAAGGAAAGAGAAGTATCAAAAAAAAAAAAGAGAAGTGTCAAAAACCTAAGTTTGGCTGCCCTGGACCCCTCCCTCCTCATAGTTTTCCCCCACCCGTCCTCACATCTTCACTTCGTAATCTCAACCGTTCGAGGGCGCAGGCATCGTCCTGCTGGCCACCATGGTCTCGACCTACATCTCGACTAATGTACGTCATCTGCTCCTATCTGGTCAATGGTGTCAGTCTCAACCCGCTCGGCCCCAGTGCAACACCATAGCCCTCTACATCTAGTGGCATTGGCGGCCTAAGCTCTCGGTGACTCCATTACGACATGTTCGGCTGTCTCGTCTCGTCCTGCAGGCCCACGTCACCATGTCAACACTCGTGTTTTGCATGCCCTGAACACTCCAATTCGCACCTCGCACAGCATTCCATTGCCTCTCGAGTTGTTGGTGACCTCGGTTTACTGTTGACTTCCCTCAAGTGCCACCTCCGGGGCGTGAACGACCATTCTATAATAACCCATAGACCATCTCGTGGCTCTTGTATATAGTATTCATGACATAATGACTGTCATTAGATGTGGCACTTTGGGCCTGTATGGTGTGGGCCGTTGCTTCTTTTTTTTGCGAAACCGTGGATCTCCTGGTCAAGTAAAGATTGCTATCACTGATACTACCCGTACGAAAATGTCAGATTCAGGCCGGAATGAAAAATGCCAGTTCCGCCTAGACCCAAAATTGGGGCACCAGTTTGTATCCAGCCTGGAACCGCGCAGTTCCAGCCCCAGTTTTAAACCCATGACCGTTGCACCACCGGAATTCCCGCTGCGCTCACCACTGGACTCTACAAAAGAATTTCGTGTTATGCCCTTAGCCGTTACAACCGAGAGATCGTCGCGATTTCAGACCCAGGCGGAGTGGGTCTGAAATCGCGACGATCTTTCGCTTTTGTAACAGCTCAGGACATCGCACGAAAGACTTTTGTAGAGTCCAGTGGTGAGCGCAGCGGTAATTATGGCGGCGCACACGGTCGTCCAGGCGTCGTCGCGTCGTCATTAAACAGTGCACGGAACACACACACAGCACGCACAAGCACAGTATCCAGTGTTGAGTGCGTCGGGAAGTTCCGGCGGGCAAGCGGTATCCGAGTTGCCCAAGTATTGTCACCAAGCACACCAGCGCATCCAGATGCCGAGCCAAAGTGCAATGGGTCGGCAGCTTCACACTATATAAAGATTCAAAGCCGAGGTCAGTGGGTATCCATCCAGGGCAACGATGGGCGCGTCAGTATCCGTGCGCCCGCAGCGCGAACGTCGCCGCCGGCCGGCAGTCCGACGGGAGCGGAGAAGAACCGAAACTGTCGAAGCGCTGCCGCTGACTGCAACAGACAATGAATGCAAGGCGCGCGTCGTCGCCAAACACGGTGCACGGAACACACACACAGCACGCACAAGCACAGTATACAATGTTGGAGTGCATCCATCCAGGGCAACGATGGGCGCGTCAGTATCCGTGCGCCCGCAGCGCGAACGTCGCCGCCAGTCGAGCGCCGACCGACCGCGCGGCAAGCGCGAAGAACAAAACTAAACTGACTCGGAGACAAAGCCAGGCGCGCGCGCGGAGAACGCCCGCTCGCAGCGCCCGCGTAGGGGATGCAGCGGAGGTGGCGGAGGCGCCTGTCCCTAACACGTGACACGCGAGAGACCGCGAAAGTTCTCCGCCATCCCCCCCCCCCCCCCCCCCCCCCCCGGCCACACACCCCTCCCTCCCCTCCTCCAGTCACGGTTTGCGCGCCCGCTGGCTGGGAGCCGCTGGCTGGGAGCGGACCCTACTGGAACAAGGGGAGCGGATCAGATTCACCGATCACTGTGCGATTCCAGTGCGTTGCGTCTCCCTGGATTCGACTGGTTAGACCCAGAATCGCGCTGATCAGAACTGTCCAGAAGTTTAGAACCCCGCGGACCCAAACTGGGACCGCTCCCATCTGACATTTTCGTACGGGTAGCACCATCACGGGAGTGACGCTGCAGCATTGATTTTACTGCTATGTTGTACTTACAATTTTGTGCATCCCATTAAGGTGTAAGGGTCACCAGAATGTCTACCCTGGCTGCACAGTGCACTGCCTGTAAATTTGGTGAGTCCACTTACTGGGCGCACATGACTTTTTAGTGTTCAATTCAGTAAGTAGACATAGTTCCGTTAAGTAGATGAGGTGTTGCCTTTCTATGCGGGTTTCACAGTTGGCTGACATGTCTTCCTCTTTCTTCCAAGCTACCATCAACGCCGGGCCAGTGGAGACAAGTTTCTCGGGGGTTTGAAGAGCTCTGGCAGTTCCCGCATTGCCTGGGCGCCTTAGATGGCAAACACGTGACCATCTGCCCACCTCTGGGTACAGGAGCCACGTACCGGAACTACAAGGGCACATTCAGCATTGTGCTGATGGCACTTTTAGACGCCGACCTCAAGTTCCTGTACGCAGATGTGGGCAGGAATGGACGGATGAACAATAGCGGTGTCTGGGCTGCCACAAGCTTACGGGCACACATCGACCATTGCTCTGCTGGTTTCCCGGAGCCAGCACAGCTGCCAAACTCGTCGAAGGTGGCACCGTTCGTTATTATTGGTGACGAAGGGTTTGGACTCAAGCCGTACCTGCTGAGGCCCTTTCCAGCAGCTGAACTAAAGGATCCAGAGACGATGTTCAACTATCGGTGAGTACAGACTGTTCTACCGTCGCTGTGCCAGTATCAGTAAGCCTTGCCTTGCATTTTCCCTGTAGTGAGAATGACAATACATAGCTTTCATGTCGCATCACATTGGTTGCCATGCCCAGGTACTAGATGTGCCATTAATACGGTGGAAGGTATGTTGTCACGCGCATCCCCGAGCATTTCACCTCGTGCTACTAATGCTCTTGAAGATTCGCCGAATGTGCAAAGGCCCCATTTCTGGGTACCGTGCTCCATCATGAAAACTGACGTGCGAATAGTGATTTCTCAATCAAATTGAATCGCACATTCCCCTATAAAACTACCTATAGCACAACTATCTACCAACCAAGAGTTTTTGGCATTGCACATATTATGACTGCCCATGGTGGTGTCCACCATCGTTGTCTCACATAGTTGTCATAGGCAATGCCTGGGAATAATACAATGCCCGACATATTCTTGTCCCTTGGAGATTGGACTTGCCGGGGATCCAGACCTAGAGATGCCTGCTTTGTCATCCACTTGTCTGAAGTTCAGATGTTGACATGAGCTTTTGAACCTGTACTCCGTGTCACTAGTTGCGTGCAGGACAGGCTAAGGCAACACCAGACGAGGGGAGAAAGGAAAAGCACTAGGAAGGATGAGGAGGAGGAGAGAAACCTCCTCCTCCCTAACGTTCTTATAGCGAGTTCGTTTCACGCGCACTGGCACCGTTGTAGTTCTCCCCCAGAATGCATCGCACTCGCAGAGTTTGGATTGTTTTGACTAAGGGGGGGGGGGGGGGGGGGGTTACGGGTTTCAGTTGAGCCAGTTGGTGCATGTTACTTGGACTGGGGCCAGCTGAACTTAGAGGAGAGATGAAGCGTGAGAAACAGAGACATAGACACTCCGCTGGACTACTAACTACGGTTTTAATTCTTCTTTTTCTTTTTCTTTCCTCCCGTGATCCTCTGCTGCTTTTTTCGAAAACAAAAGCAGCAGAGGATCACGGGAGGAAAGAAAAAGAAGAATTAAAACCGTAGTTGGTAGTCCAGCGGAGTGTCTATGTCTTTTTCTGTCCCTGTTTCTCACGCTTCATCTCTCCTCTAAGTTCAGCTGGCCCCAGTCCAAGGGGGGAGGGTCTTTGTCTCATCTTTGCTTGTAGTAGTCGATGTACTGTACAATTCACCGGTACGAACACGGCCGTCCCCAACCCCCCGGCTTGGCAGAGCAATTCGGTAGTGTCATGCCACGCTTAGGTGTGCATGACTGGTAGGTGTGCTATCAGTGGTTATCAGAAGCGAGCTCAAGTGGTCACGAGGGTGAGGTTGATAGCGGATGGAAGAGGCTGATAAAGAGCGGAAAAAAAGCGTGTTTGGGTAGGTTGGATCCGGGCGTGGTGACGGAAGGTTGTATCTCGACACGACGGGAAGGAATAAATCATCTGAAGGTATTTGGACAAGTGTCTTCACTGGCGCAGTCGACAAAACGGAAAAGAATCGCGAGGAAACGCAGCATTCAAGCATACGTCGAAATGCCCACATCGGACCACCGGCCCACGGATCAGGACACCCGCGGAAACGCCAACTGAAGGGTTCACGCCGCAGAAAGTGGAAACCCGGCAAGCAACCCCGTGAAACTTCAACCAAACCGCCCATGCTGCAAAAAGTGGAAGCTGGGGATCTTTCAGCGAAACGTCACCGAAGCGCCTTCTTGAAAGTGGAGACTTCAACCGAGGCATCTACGCTGGAAAAAAAAAAAAAAAAAAAAACTGAGCAACGGCGACAGCCAGGAGACAAGGAAGAACTGCAAGGTGAACAGAGCGGCTGCCTACGAAACGTCACAGCCTGACTGAGCAACGGCGACAGCCAGGAGACAAGGAAGAACTGCAAAATCAAAAGAAGGGGGAGGGGCGGGGACAACGACATGAAGAGGAGCAACGCGCAAGTGGTGAAGTGAAGAGGGCTGGTGAGGGGACATCTCGGGGTCGCATCTTGTTAGGACAGTGAACAGTACTCGCGAGTAGCACCTGAGGAACCCACCACGGCCGGAGCAACTGGTAGCAGAGTGTCCGAAAGCCTGGGGTGCAGCCTGCCGCCCGATTGGAGAGCGTCTGTGAAGGTAAGAGGCATTGAGTGGTGATTGAGGGTGTGGCTGATGATAACTCGTGCAAAGGCTAAAGCAGAACAAAAAATGAGTGACGACGATCTAGACGGGAAGGGGGCTGTCGGTGGGGCATTGGGGGACGAGAGAATGAAAGAACATGCCGAGCTGCAACTACGGCTTGAGGAAAAAAGAATAGAGCGAATACAGTTAGAGTTGGAAATGGCACGGCTGAAACAGACCTCGGCAACGGAAAAAGATCAGAGTGACCAACCAAAAGAGCTAGCGGCAGAGATTATGCAGTTCTCTAAGATGCTTGCGAACGTTCTTAGTCGCATACCGGGCGAAGAGGAAATGGTGCCGGGATGGTTTGATACCGTCGAGAGCGTGTGGAAGGCCTTTAAGGTTCCCAAAAATGTACAAACAATGGTACTACTCCCGTATTTATCGGAGAGAGTTAGGCACATAGCAAGGGACGGCGAAACTCTCGGATTCTTGCAGTATCCGGAGGTAAAAACAAAGGTGCTTGAACTTTTGCAACTGTCCCCTAATGAATACCGAAGGCTGTTCACAAACGCGAAGAAAAAGGAAAATGAGCCCTGGACACAGTTGGCAGAAAGAGTGCGTGGCTACCTTGACTATTACGTTCGTAGCAGAAAGGTCGAGAACTTTGATGACTTGAAAGAGTTGTTAATTGCGGACAGAGTGAAGGAGATATTGAGCGAAGATGCTCAGGCTTTTGTTACTCTTCGCGAAGGAGATGACTGGTTACGGCCTGCTGGTATAGCAAAGTGGGCACAGGTCTATGATGAAAGTAATAAATTAAAGGGAGACAGTGGGAAAAGGCTCAGTAAGCCGGCCGAGCGACAGAGACTGGAAGGGAATGCAACACGGGGTCCATTCCCACCCAGAAAGTGCTTCGTGTGCGGATCGTTAGGCCACCTTGCCAGATCATGCCCAGAGTCCGAAAAAAAAGTTGCGGCAAGGGTCGAGACGGTAGAGGGAGAGGTCAGCGGAATTGTAAAAGAAGCCAAATTAATAGAACTAGAGCTGTGTGGAGAAAGACTGCCAGTCAGACTAGATTCTGGAGCGGATATTACAGTTATCCGGAAATCGTTGTTACCTGACAGACGAGATCAACCAAAGGGCAAAATAAAACTAAGAGGTGCCTTTGGGCAAGAAATCGAGGCGGAGTTGGTTCACATACCATGCCGCTTGGCGGATACAAGCAAAGTTGGCAATCAGCAACAGAAACTGGTACTCTGTGCTCTAACAGACGAGCTTGCGTCGGGTTTAAATGTACTGTTAACGCAAACAGATTATGAGGACCTTAAAGCAGTGTGGTACGAAGAGCTTGAGGGAGATTACTTGGGTGCAAACATGGAACGAGGAGAGGAAAAGTTCTTCGAGCCACCTCTGGTACGCAGTACGGAGGGAATATCTAACGTGGACGAAGGTGAAACACCGCGAGCGGGGGCCTTCTGCATTGATAGCGAGGCGTACAAAGAAAGCGGAGCAGCAGAAACACACGACAGCACAGGCAAAACGGATAGCAGTGTGGAGCAGACATTGCAGGATAGTCGTCTACGCTTTCGAAAAGAACAACGAGAAGATGAATCATTGCGTACGTTGCAGAAATATGCTAAAGCGCGTAGTCACGGTTTCACAGAGATCGAAGGCTTACTGTTCCACAAAGAGTCGATGAATAAGCAGTTAGTCATGCAAGTAGTGCTGCCAAAAGGCAGGCACAGACAAGTGTTGCAGGTAGCACATGACTTGCCGGTAGGGGGCCATTTCTCTTTCAAAAAGACGAAACAAAGAATAAAGAATTCGTTTTATTGGCCGGGAATGGATGAGGACATACGGGAGTACTGTAGGACCTGTGAAAGCTGTCAACTGACAGCAAGAGAGAGGACAAAGGATCGGGTACCGATACAACCACTAACAAGACCACAGGTTCCTTTCCAGATGGTAGTAATGGACTGCGTGGGGCCCATAGACCCCCCCTCATCTAAAGGCTACAAATACGCTGTCTGTATTGTTGATGTGTGTACCCGGTGGCCGGAAGTCATATGCATGCGATCTCTCACAGCCAAAGCAACCTGCGATGCCTCACTGGAAGTGTTTTCTCGAATGGGTACCCCAGAGGTTATTTCTTCTGATCAAGGTAGCAACTTTACAGCCGGATTGACACGAGAACTGATGTCTCGGCTCGGGGTTTCTCCAAGGTTTTCTACACCGGGTCATCCAGAGAGTAATGGTTTGGTAGAACGATGGAACCAGACTTTCAAGGGAATGTTGAGACAGGTAATTGCTGAACATGGGAGAGGATGGGACAGGTATGTACCCTGCCTGCTGTGGGCATACCGAGAAGTACCAAGCGAGACGACAGGTGTGTCGCTATTCGAGTTAATGTATGGTCGTGTCCCTAGTGGTCCTCTGGCTATTCTTAGAAAATCCTGGACGGGAGAATGGACCCCCCCAGTGACGTTAAATCAAGGTGCAGAAAAATATCTCCTGGACCTGAGGAGGCAGATGATGAGTCTAGCAAAAAATAGCGGACGAACGAGCACAGGGACAACAACGGGCATATGCCACACAGTACAACCTAAGGGCAGTGCCAAAGTCATTTCAAAAAGGAGAAGCGGTGCTAATGTTAAACACAGAAGCTACAAGCAAAATGGAGGCCAGGTGGGTGGATCCGATAACGATTGTTGAACGGAAAAGGGACAACAGCTACGTTGTTGAGCTAAAGGGAGGACAGAGGAAGTGGGTACATGCAAACAAGTTGCGTCCCTACTATGCAAGAACAAACGCTGTGGGGGTGATTTTTGAAGATCGGGACTTTGGGAGCGTGGAGGAGACCCCATGTGACGAAAAAAAAGATAGCACGGTATGTCAGACGGGTATCCAGCTGACGAA